CATCGATAACTTACTTATTAATTATACATTCGCACACAATTCACTTAGTTTTAACAAATTGTTATTATCTTTACTTTAAACTCCCAAACAAACAGGCAAAAAAGATCAGTAAATATCCTGTCCAGTAAATTCACTGATACGACTGACCGGCGCACTTGTCACCAAGGTCAAATTAGCATCTTAACGAAAAAGACATGAAAACCAAAGAATGTTTCTATTAAGCAAACACTAAGCAAAAAACAGAAATAGATCATAACACAATCTCGCAAATATGGTCTTCAACGACCCAATAATAAGAACTATATTAATAGCATATTTTAAAGATTTTAGTAAGCAACCACTCAATCAAAAATCAAATCAAAATCAGGATCAGGCTCCCTACGCCCTGATCCAGGGTGGTGTAATAAGAGAAAGGGATTAAGGGTCCCTAATTAGGGTGTCAAAGTGTACCCTGTCTGCAGTGCCCTTCCACCGCGCAGTGTAATAACACTAAGGGAGTTAGGGCACTTATTCGATGCGCGACTAGGGATGCAAACGATACATCAATTCTTCCAAACATTGATATATCGTTCATAAACATGGTTCTTCATGAGCTATGTTTTATGAACGATGTTCTGCCGTCAAAGGTTACGAAATAACCAATTATTCAAAGGTATAAAATTCCGTACGTTAAAAGTTGTGAACGATGATTATCACGAATTTTATGTTGAATAAATATTCGAAACAAAATATGTCAAAGTTAGATAACGTCTAAATTTTCAAAGTTAGGTTTACTAGTATTTATCAGAAATAACTCAATCCCGAAAATTTTAATTACGAATCAACAAACAGGCGAATGGTCTTTCAGCCGAAAATAAATATACTTGAACTTCAGAAGTATAATTGTCTTCTATCGGTAATTCCATTTTCGATGTAAACTTGTACTTATTTTTATTGTAATAATTAAATAAGTTTAGAAATTTTGAAAATGGATTGAAATTGTTTTATTCATAAGAAATTTTATTCATTTTCTTATCTTCTTAATAAATTACGTGTCACGTTTTGTCCGCGATGGACTCCTAAACTACTTAACCGATTTTAATCAAATTTGCACTCCGTGTGCACTTTGGTCCAACTTGAGAGATAGGACAGTTTTTTTTTGCCCATGCCAAATTTTTTTTTTCGAATTGAAGGATTTTTAATAGGGCATGACAAAGGGTAGTCGAAAAGGGCAGAACAACGTCTGCCTGGCAAGCTAGTTAATAATTATACAGTCTTATAAGCTAGGAAATTATTTTTAGAAGTTAGTTAGGAAATTATTTTATCGGTTTACAGTACTTCGTATTTCGTTACAACCATTTTTCTGAAATATTGATTTTTATGGATGGACGGTTATTCACCCGTTTGTATTTCGGTATAGTTTCGTAGATGTATTCAGAAAATGCGATAATACTCAAGGTAACATATGTAACAAGCATAAAAAATTGACGCACCACAACATAAGAAATAAAATTAAAGCAGAAGACGAGTTTCATATATTACATGTGGGATATCATGAAAGGGTTATTTCGCGGGCTTCATAGCTTAGATAAACTTCGGTATCCCGTGAGCGGTTATTTTCAGAGGCTGGATCTACAATCACCCAGGAGAGAAACCACTTACTAGGCACCAATTTGTCAAAATTGTTATTTTAAAATTCAATTCGAAAGAAATAAACGTAAAAGTAAAAAAAATATTTAATTAATTCTTGTTTTCTGATAATTATTCGATAAAATTAAATGTGTAAAAATAAATAGTGTAAATTAACATAAATATAATGTTTGATTATTACACTTCTTTGTTTAATTTCTGTCTATAATGATTATTTATTCCTTATGTATGTATATATTTTAAATGATGATAAAAAACTTCGAAAAAATCGATATATCGTACATAAGCTTTGACTCGAGTTAACTCAAGTTCAAATTCACTCGAACTAAACTCGAATTATGCAACTAGAGTTAGCAGGACGAAACACAGTAAATGATTTGTTACAATTACTTTAAAAATATCGATTCAATAAATATATATACTTTTTTCACTTGTCCATCCCTATGACTGAGTAAGGGCGTAAAATCAGGGTAGTGTAATAACTGACGTCCCTAACTAGGGGCCACTCCCACCCTTCATTTAGGGCCCTGATTCAGGGTGGTGTAATAGGGGCATTAGTTAGGTCAATTTTTCAAATCGGATTTTCTAGTTTGAGAAATCGATGCATATCGATTTGTGTTTTAAATCGGATTTTAGTTTCGTTTTGATATATCTGAGGTATGCCTAACCTAGTATAATAGAAAATATTTTTTAATTCTTTATGTGTTTGTAATTTAAGTAAATTACCTGAAATTACCATTCAATATTTCGAAAAAAGAAAATCCATGAAAATGTAATCTCACTAATTATCTTTGGTGGTGGGACTTCCAATATGTTGGCTCATTTAAGAAGGAGCCATCCAAAGGTTACAGTGAAAGTGCAGGGGATTTTTGTAGCTGAACAGCCCAGCAAAGAAAGAAATCCCAATCCTGGATGGAACAGCAAATGCTACTTGCACCTTACCGGAAAAGAAAAAAGTAAACACAAGGACTATCCTACAGAAAAAGAAATTGCCTGAGCAATAACAAGGCCGGCATGCCATCAAACACATAACTTGTAAAAAAAACCAAGTCTCACAACTCAGTTCTTCTACCGTAAAAAGTTGTGAGATTCATGTAATACCAAATCGGTTAATTTATTCAGTCCCTACTTAAGGGTCCTTCTGTTCTTCTGTAGAAGAACTGAGTTAAGAGACTTGTTTTTTTTTTACAAGTTATGTTTTTGATGACATCTCATTTCTTTTTGTAGATAGTCCTACTTTTTTTCTTTTCCGGTAACTTTTACTTCTTATAATTAACACAACAATTTACAATATACAATACCAACAACGTACCTACGAGTATCTACACCTGTTATACACAAGTACACTGATTCATTCACTGCAAATGTTACTTTGTTATTCTATGTATTTATATGGGATTACAAAGTTATTTATGTAGTTGGTGTATCTAGAAAATTGGACCGAAATTAAAAAATATTTTAGTTTTTCCTTAATTTATACACTAACTAATTGTATTTTAAATTTGAAGCTTCTATGTCTGCTAGAAGTGCCTTAGAGTTTTGAAGATCGGTCAGTCAGTGAGTGACAAAATTAAGAAACTTTGACTAGTTATTATTCTTAAACTACTGGTTCAAATTGAATGAAATTTAAAATATACCATGGTTATACAAGGGCTACTAGGTAACTGAAAATTCAGGCTTCTAGTTTTATCCACTACGAAGTTATAGGGGCTCGAAAATGGCCTGAATTGTTTCGGGAAAATTATGGTACGGCCGTGCCGCTTTTTTACTCGGATCAGTGGATGCAACGTATATGCCGTCGGAAAGGATGTTTTCCAAATCAGGATATGTGCTGTTATTCTGAAGAAGCAGGTTGCAAGCGGATGCTGTCGATCACATTTGTCTTGATCAAAATGACGACTTATGCTATTAGTTATTTTCAGGTAGAAGTACTTTCAATTTAATAAATTAAACTTAAAAATGTTCGATGTTTTGTTCTTTCTTTTTAAAAGTAAAAAATAAACTTAAAAATACCGCAAAACCGGTTTTTTAGTTAGAGTAATCGGTTGTAACTGGTTTTCAAATTTGTAATCGGTTCACAACACTGGTTGGCGCTCCTGTACATATTACGTACCTTTAATTTATTTTTTATAATACAACTTAATAATTTGTGGTTTGCCCTAGCCACAGAGCACTTTTCTGTTCTTATTAGTTCATATACTATACCAATAATCTATGGACTATATAAATCACTACGTGAATACTACATATTACCTCTAACTCAAGACTCCTAGCAGATGGTGGATGTCTAAGGCGCGGTCACTTATTAGTTTTTTTTATTTATAGGAGAGGGGGCAAACGAGCATACGGCTCAACTGATGGTAAAGCCCGGTTTACATTTTGAGAAGTGACAAGTGCGAGTGACAATGACAAGTGACAAATGACAAATGCTTAGTGCGTGTGAACAGGCAGTGACAAGTGCGAGTGACAAGTGACAAGTGCGAAATGAAAAATAACAAGTGAATAGCGGCCTGCTCTATTCTCTGACAAGTATCTCTGCCCCGCGCTAACCTTGCTTTCCCCTCAGTCACCAACCGCCGCCCCCGTTCTAGCGGTGACGTCAGAACATACACGTGTTGGTTATAATAGTTATTAAATAAAATATTTTTGTTATATATATTGTATACATACTCGTATTTATAATAATTTTGTTTTATTACGAAGTGGTCAGATAGCAATAACATTAAATTTGTCAAGGAATTATTGAAACACGAATGTTTATACAATATTAAATCGCTGAATTAAAAAAAATAAAATGATGCGAGACGCTGCTATGCCCTCAATATCTCAATCAATGGGAATGGCCGGTTTCGGCGCAAAAGAAGTAGGTATATGCGAAGTTAAGAAGCATTAAGTTTACATATTACCAAGAAAAGAAGAAAATTAAAGACTCCTGTAGGTCAGGGCTGGAGCCATATTATTTTCAGGATTAAATTTTTTCCTTGTTATAACTTTAAGACACATTTTTCTCACTTAAGCGTTTTTAGGAAATTGGTGTGCACCAATATCTTTGCAATAAGGCATTTCACACATCTTTGGTATCTCATCATACAATTTTACCTTTTTTTATTAAAGTTTTAAACTTTAAAGCTATGCTAGCGCCTCTTTGACAATTACAGTAGGCGCGCGAGTTCATGTCCATCCTGAGGAATGCGGTAGTGCTGTGACCTAATCAATTATGGTAATGTCGATAATTACTACCGATTTAGTCAACAGCTGTCAATTTGGTTTATTGTAACTTAAGGTGATTTTGCAAATTATGAAATAAAATAAATGTGATAAGTACTTACTTGTTTATTGCTAATAGAGAAAAATATTTTTTAAAATGCAATTTAATCACTATCAGATGCAAAAACAACCGACAGAGCAGAGTCGGAATCAGTATCTTCGCCGTCGCTGACTTCAATTACGAATTTGTCGATCGTATTTTCCATTAGTCCGTCTTTTTGCCAGTAATGCTCTTCAAAAATTATAACGTGATCATCGAATCCACACCAATCTTTTTCTGTCACCTGGTTTATAGCCATCTCCGTTACTTCTTTCAATCTTGTTAGGGATAAATCTGAGTTAACGTTGTACTCCCTCACAACTCTCTTGACTTTTGCCCATGCTAACTCAATTGGGTTTAAGTCGCACATGTACGGTGGCAATCTTAAAACCTCATGTCCGTGACTACGGATGAGCTGGTCTATTTTAAAACTTTTCTCTTGGGGCGCATGCAATTTTATCAAATCAAAAAGCTGGCCTTTTCTCATGCTTAGTGAAGCCTCTACATTGTTTCTAATAAGCCATTCTAACATAACCGTTTTAGTGCTTGATTTTGTAGGAACTTTATTTTCCTGAACACTGTGATATGGTGCGTTGTCCATAACGACAACGCTGGATGGTGGCAAATTGGGAATGAACATGTCAGTCGCCCATTTCTCAAAGTTCGTACTGTTCATTTGCCCGTGGTAATCGCCTGTAGCAGTACCAGCTTTGAAAAGCAATTTTGCGCTATCCAAAAAACCACGTCTGGATCCGGCGTGAACGAGAATCAGCCTGTTCGTTGAGCTGGTGTCAGTCAGTATCGCGTCTATATAATCGTTTCTCCAACACTTTTTAAATGTGAGGTTATTGTCGATCCAAGTTTCGTCTAAAAAGAAAATATCGCGATTGTTTTCTCTGTATTGACGAATTTTTTGCAAATAATTTGACCGCGCAAATACAACAGCTGGTCTTTCTACCAAAATCCTTCGCTTGTTGTGACATTTTTGCCATTTATAGCCCATTTTCTTTAGAAGTTTTCGTAAACTTGTAGTCCCCCAGGGAAAATTTATTTTTTCCCGGATTGCCGCCAGAAGTTTAGGACAAGTGGGAACGATATTTTTTGTCAAATAAAATTCTTCTATACATCTGTGTATTACACTTCTATCGAAATCATCTACATTTAAATTCCCCATTTTATTACACGATTTCCCTTTTTTTAGAAGGCGAATGAAGAGGTCCATTTTTTTGCTTCTGTTTGAATTCTAGACAATGTTCTTTTAGTAAGTCCAGTGTAACGGGCCGCTCGATCTAAAGCATTGTTAACGGGAAAAGCGAATTTATTCTCTTTTTTCTCTTCAACACACATCTGTAGGACATTTCTCGCCATTTCACGTGCTTGCTTATGTATTATAAAAGGTTTTTTCCTACCCGAACTTGCTGGAAGCGAAGTAGTCATGGTTTATTCACGATAAAATAACACAATCTCGACTAATTTTCTGTATCGATAAGCGCGCGTCACAACCGTCAAGGACAACACTCGACTGCAGACAAATGCGGCGAGGTGGTTGAAAGCGGGGCGAGCTGCCCCCGCGCGCCGCCTCTGTCCCCGATGGACATGAACTCGCGCGCGTACTGTAGCTACCCAATTTCACACTCGCAGATTTCACATAATAATGACATCCACTTGCCACATGTGTGAAGACCAACTTGCTATTTATCACTTGTCATTTGTCACTTGTCATTGCCGCTCGCACTTGTCACTTCTCAAAATGTAAACCGGGCTTAAGTGATTAACCGCCCATGAACAACGGTAACACCAGGGAAATTGCAGATGCATTGCCGGCCTTTTAAAAAGAATTAGGCTCTTTTCTTGAAGGTCCCTAAGCCGTATCGGTCTAAGTTTTCTCGCGATGTGCGATGGTGAAATTGTGCGGCTGGAATAAGTCGAACAATTCCTCAGATGATTCCTCGTGGTAGATGCGATAAAATACGCAAAAAGATGTAACATCTCTTCGCTGTGCCAGTGAGTCAAGCCGATCGGAAAGAGCTCGGTCGCCGAGGAATTGAACAGCTCTGCGCTGTATGCGATCAAATGGAAGGAGCTGCCACTGGGGAGCCCCAACCCAGAGATGGGAACAGTATTCCATGTGCAGCCGAACCTGCGCCTTGTAAAGTTGCAGGCGGTGTGCCGTCATTAAATATTGTCCTGCTCTGCTGAGCACGCTAAGATTTTTAGAGGCCAATTTGGCCTTACAATCTCCAAAAGACAATCTCCTAGTGACCACGAAACTGCATGCTATTCGATATGTCGACGCCGAGGATTACGATACTGACTGAGGTAATAAGGGGAGTGCCTTGAAACTAATGAGATACGATGAATTGGTTCTTTTTAGCAGTGAACGCGCAAAATTGTTTCTTTTGGGGATTTTACTGTACTAGATTTAGTCACCTCCAGTCCGACACTTTGTTCAACAAAGTGTTCGACTTCAGACACAAGTTTACCCCGGTACTCGGCGACGTTTTCCCGATAAATATTGGCACGGCCGGTGTATAAAACATCACCAGTGTCAGTGACGGATTTACCAGCAGGCTGAGTAGGCTGAAGCCTAGGGCGGCAGATTTTTGGGGCGGCAAATTTGAGGCAAAATTTTTTTTATGTCTCACAGAAATTAAAGAGATTTAAATTTTAAAACGAAAGTTGAAGAAATATTTTCTGCCAGTCTATCTCGGAAATCAAAACACGTTTTCGTTCCTTGCTCTGCTCACTCTATATTCAGTGGCAATTGCGGCTTTTGAATGTTGCACAAAAGCTTGTCGTTTCTTCATGTTGCTTCAAGAAATTTTTATATAAGTTCGACACAACGCTGGCAAAAATAATGACTGAAATCGAGAAAGGGAAAACACTAAAAAGAGTAAATTTGACACCTTGGTCAGCTAGTGAGGATGCATGTGGAGGTTTAGAGATTCTTGGTACGAAGTCCTTAAAACTTTGGAATTCATCAAGGATGATTGTTCCGAAAAACCTGTAACGCGAAGCGAAGCAACGGGAATACTTTTGAATTTATAAAAAGTGAAAATGGCGGTAATGGTTGTTGTGTAGTACGTTTTTATGCAAAGAATAAACAAAGTGACTGTTCAAGTTCAGGTTTGTACTGTAGATTTGATCACTGTTGTCGATGGAATTAAGAATGTCGAAGCAGTATACAAAATACATGAGAAAAAGACAACTGAAAACGAAAAAAAGAAATCAAATGTCCGATGAAGAAATGAGAATAATTACGAGTGACATTTTCAGGGTTAACATATTTATTTTCCTCATTGATAGACTCGTATTCGAATTAGAAACACTGTAGGACGCCTATGACAGATTCAGTGAAAAGTTTTCATTTTTGAAGAAAATGAGTGATTTGTTATCAGCTAGTACGGAAAAAGCCCTTTTCTTGGAAGAAATGTATTCTTATGATTTACTTCAAGAAAACATACATTTTAAATCTCACCTTTCTTCTGAAAGAATTTTAGTGAAACCTGATTCTGAATCACTGAAAAGTCTATCTTCGTTTTTGCGAATAAAGAGTTTGCATAACGTTTATGCAAACTTTGATGCAGAAGTTCGTATGACTTTATGTACATCAAGGACAAATTATTCGAGATAAATTGTCTAAGATCTACCATAAGCCAAAAAAACTAAACACCTTAGGGCTTCTGTGCATTAACTCAGCTAATGAAAAAGATTTCATACGACGATATAATTGATGATTTTGCGAATAAAAACTCGCGCAAGACGGTATTACAAAAATTTCATAACTTAATTTATTGAATTTCATAATCATCGTCATCAGCCGGATTGTTACCAGATATTTTTTTTATAGAATAATGATAAACGAGCACACAGTCCACCCAATGATAAGTGGATGCTGTGGCACATAGATATCTAAATTTATCCTCGATTAAGAATCAAAATGCAAATGATACGTTGTTACCCCTGAAGACCAAAAGGGTTTCCGGTTCTTTACATTCACCGTACGAAACACAGCAGCGTTGAGGTGCTATTTTACACTGTTATTCTGAGAAAGCGGGATCCTTCCCCGGTCGAGCCGACCCATTCATGCTACAGCCATAATATAGCTGCAGCATGGCTCTACCACGTAAAATTGAATACATTGATTTCAAAGTGTAAGCGCAATAAAAATTATTTAATTATGTTTACCGTATCTAAGTAGCACTAAATCATACCTCACCGCCTTATGGTAGCTATGTTTGAGCTTTTGTTAGCTCAGAAATATACCCAGAAACTATTTCTTGTGCAATCTCACGTAAATTTTTGAATTATAATAATAATATAGGAAGAGGAGGACTCATCGATCTCCTAGTTCACAATCGTACTATAGTGCACAAGTCATAAAGTTACAATTTCATTGAGAAAATAATTGTAATGCTCATGAGACAGCGAGACTGGCATTCCTCAACTGGGTGTGGTATGGCCGGCCAAGAGTTGGACGTGTATACCAGGATATGTGTATATCGCGAAAAGTGTTCAAGTCTAAATTAAAAAATTAAAAGCATGTCAAGATAACCAAGACCAAATAAAAATGATTAGCTTCACAATACAATAAAAAAAAATTTCAACATTTTGGAAACTCTCGAAAAGACTGAGTCCTAAGTCTGCTGTCTCCGTAAGCGTGAGTGGGATTAGTGAACCGAGGGAAATAGCAAATTTTTTTAAAATTCACTTTAAAGTTGAATCGATATTACAACAAAGAGCAGAAGTGGAGGCGGGCGGTGGTGGGGTTGTTAGGACTGGTGAACCTGTCCGTATTACTGCTAAGAATCTTAGGTTGGTCCTGAAGAAGATGACTAGAGGAAAATTACCGGGGAACGATGGTTTCAGTGTCGAGCACCTTCACAATGCAGGGCCGCATCTCCCAAGGGTCCTGGCAATGTTGTGCACTTTTTGTATTAGGCACTCCTATTTACCTGCCGAACTAATGAGAACTATCGTTGTTCCTTGTTGAAAAACAAGACTGGGGATATATCTGATAAGGCTAATTACAGGCCTATATCCTTGGCAACTGTATTGGCAAAGGTACTTGACGGTTTGCTGGAACGACGACTTAACGACTATATACAACTAAACGATGCTCAATTTGGTTTTAGACCAGGCCTGTTGACAGAGAGTGCTACAATGTCGCTGAAGGATACTGTCAAATATTACATCCAGAGACAAACAACAGTGTATGCTACATTTCTGGATCTCTCCAAGGCATTTGACCTGGTTAATTATGACATACTATGGACAAAACTGCATGAAATATAAGTTCCAGCTGAACTTATCACCACCTTAAAATATTGGTACGGTCATCAAGTTAACCAGGTCAAATGGCCTGGCGAGTTATCTGACGAATATGTATTGGAATGCGGGGTGAGGCAGGGGGTGTTGTCTTCGCATGTGGTGTTCAGTCTCTACGTAAACGGGCTCATTGGTGCACTCAGTGAATCAAGGATAGGATGTTCTGTTGACGGTAATATGATTAATAATATAATTTATGCCGATGACATGGTGTTGCTGAATCCATCGGTAAGTGCGTTGCGTAGACTGTTATGTGTGTGAAACATACGCTGCTGAACATGGGCTTATCTATAACACCAAAAAAACTGAGTTATTGGTGTTTCGTGTTAACAGTAAGAAACCCTTGATTGTGCCGCCAGTAAAACTTCTTGGTGTGCCGTTAAGTAGAGTTTGTCCATTTAAACATTTGGGACACATTGTTAACGACTATCTGACAGACAACAATGATATAGAGAGAGAGCATTAGTGGTTCGATGCAATATGCTTACCCGCAGGTTTGCTAGGAGTACAAATGACTTAAAAATAACCCACTTCAAGGCGTACTGTCAAACATTTTACACCTGCAGCCTGTGGTGTGACTACACGCAGAGGACCTACAATGCGCTTCGAATTCAATATAATAATGCCTTCAGGATGCTAATGGGCCTTCCTAGACACTGTAGTGCTTCAAGCATGTTTGCTGAAACAGGTGTTGATGATTTTTATGGCATCTTAAGAAAGCGAACTGCGTCAGTGTTATATAGACTACGGAAGAGCTTAAATAGTATCTTGAGAATATTTTCAAGATAGGCTTGACAGTCCCATTCAGAGGCATTGGATCCTAATGCATGTGGGTGGGACATTCAAGTTTCTAAAATGATTGCTCTCGTTCTATTAAGCAGTCGGGCGCTGTCCGTGAACGTGAGCACGCTCAAGGTCACTGGCCTGGCCACGATAATTGATAACGCGTCGAAAATATTAAAATGTTCTAATTGTAACATCGTTATTTGTGAAGTGTTAGCATTCGTCCAAAATAAGCTGGACATAATGGATGAAGAAAGCCTTATTCAAATATGTGAAAGTGCTTTTAATTTGGATGAGATTGAAAAGGCAAAGTTGTTATTGTTTGAATCTGTGGGTAAGCAGCTGACAGTGAGAAAACGAAAAGATAAACTCTTCGGAACATTGAAGACATAATTTGTCTACTTAAGGAAACAGACCCTAATCAGGTCCCAATTTTCGTAGCAAGGCAGTTGGAAAAGCTGCCTCCCCTCACACATTACGCCTATACTTAAGAAAATATTAGTGTTAGAAAGTCTGTGTGTTCATTCAAAGAGACTATGTTACGAAAAAGGATCTTAATAACCAATTAACCGAATATTGTAAAAGTACTTGCGTGCATACGAGTCAAAATAATGTAAATATGAAGAGAGGCGGTGGTGTTAATTATTTTGATAGTGGTCCCATGGCAATTTCAACTTACTTTGACGAATGCGCGTCTCACTCGCGCAAGGAGGGTAATTCATCATACCACTCAAACAACCACTCGTCCGCGAGTGTAGCGAGTGTGAGCGAGTGTGAGCGAGAAATTGCAAACGGCGCCTGCGCAAGCATCGAGCGCGTGAATGAGACAAAAATCGATCATGAGATGGTACGTGCGGGCTCTGAGGACGAGCACCAGGGCCGAGTTGCGATGACTAGATCGCCTGAGCATCAGTGTAGCCCGGTGTATTACGATAGTAATATTATGAATAAGGGTGAAACTGATATTAAATACGGAAAATTGCGTCTTTCTCGAATATAGTAAGGAAAGATGGCGAATGGACAGAGCCTGAAAAAAACGAAGGGTGGATTTTGTACCAAAAACGTAGGCTTAGAAACCGCTTTACTAGTCAAAGGGGTTGTGCCATGGAGTCTGAGTCAACTAGTCAAAAGTTTAGGGCAGCGGATATAAAGGTGCCTTTGTTTATCTCGAATGTTGCCAAGGAGGTATCAGGGCAGGATATTATTGATTATGTGTATAACAAAACGCATGAAAAGGTTTCACTGGTGAAAATCAATATGAGATGGCAGGAAGGGTATGATGCCTATAAGGTCTTGGTATCTAAGCATAAAATTGAGACATTCCTAGATGATGAACTGTGGCCATCAGGCATAACGTTCCGTCGTTTTGTGATTTTTTATGATAAACAAAAAGATAAAATCAATAATAAAGAACAAAATAAACAGGACAGTTGAACATACTGAATATAATACATACGTGCTACATATACTACATACATTTTGAAAGAAATAAATAATTTAGATAATAAATTAATATATTGAATATATCTACTAAATACATTTTAATAAAAATACCAAATAAATAAATAATTAATTAATATAGATAAAAATTAATACATATATGTATAAAGTTAGTAAGTTTCAACTGTAAATCGATCAAGAAGTCAGCGGAAGGTGTAAGAGAGTTGTGCCGGTCAGCCGACGTGTTGTGCCTCCAGGAAACGTGGATTCTTCCACATGATTTATCATTTCTCAGCACGATCAGTGAAGAATTTGGGTCCACAGGCACATCTGCGGTGGACACGGAGGGAGGCCTAGTGAGTGGGAGGCCTTATGGTGGAGTTGCAATATTGTGGCGTAAAAATGTATTTGTATCAGTGTCAGTGATAGAGTGTGACAAAGTGCGAATCTGTGCCATAAAAGTAACTGTGAGTTCAGTAGTTATATTTAGTGTATATATGCCCAAAAACTCTTATGAAAACTTACCTGAGTTCTGTACGTGTCTCGGTTCGATCCGATCGATAAAAGGAAATAATAGAAATAGAGGAAAATAAGGGAATTGAAGCTTTTTATATACTAGGGGACTTTAATGCTCATCCTAGGGAATTATTTTATAATGAAATGCTAAATTTTTGTAATGAAGAGAGCTGCATTTTTGTGGACGCAAGAATGTGTAATAAAAATACATTTACTTTTCATAGTGAGGCTCATGGTTGTAACAGGTGGCTGGACCACTGCATAGTCACTCATTCTGCGCGTGAAACAGTAGTAAGCGTGTCTGTTAATTATGATGTATTTTGGCTAGACCACTACCCACTTGTGGTGGAATGTAATTTAAATAAACTTAAGTCTAAGGTTGTGGAGCAGGTAATGCGGAAACCTGTGAACCATGTTACTTGGGGCAACAGGACTCCACAACAGAAAACTGTATCACGATTTTTGTCACACAAACTTGAGAATTATAGATCTTCCAGAGGAACTCAGAGACTGTTGTGATAAATTTTGTAGTAACAAGGAACATCACGCTGTACTTTATAATATGTACGGTAATATTATAAATATACTATCACTGGCAGCAATTCGTACATATAGGGATAAATGTAGAAAAAAGGGAGGTTACGTGACGGGGTGGAATAAGCACGTCGCGGGCCCACATCGGGAGGCGCGGCTTAAATTTCAAGAGTGGATGATGGCTGGGCAGCCGTCCAGGGGTCGCGTATTTGAAGAGAGGTCAGAATCCAGAAAGCGTTTTAAAGCCAAATTAAAATGGTGTCAAAACAAACAAGAACAGCTAAAGATGGATATTATTGCGACATATCACTTTTCTAAAGACTTCAAAAGATTCTGGAAAAACACAAACAAAATGAATGTTAAGCCGAGTCTTCTAGTGACTGTTGGGGGTGCTAATGATCACAAGGATATTGCGGATGCATTCAGATGCAATTTTACTGTAAAGCCACCCTTAAATGTCGTTTCGGGTTTGAATTTGAGTGAATCTGAGACTATCATGACAGAACAAAATAAAAGATACCTGCAATGAAAATAGAAAAAATAATTAAAGAGATGGTAAGAGGAAAATCGCCTGGTTATGATGGTCTCAGCATCGAACACTTCAGATATGCTGGGGTGCATCTTCCGAGAGTCCTTTCACTGTTTTACAGCCTGTGTTTGGGTCACTCTTACTTACCCGAGCCGCTGATGAGGACTATTGTAGTACCCGTTGTTAAAAATAAAACTGGGGACACATCCGACATGGGTAATTACCGACCTATCTCGCTTGCAACCACTGCATCCAACGTGTTTGACAGTGTGTTAAATGAGTGTCTCAACAAATACGTACTAATAAACGATGCACAATTTTGGTTTAAACTGAATGTATCGACGGAGAGCGCCATTTACTGTCTGAAACACATTGTTAAATACTACACCGTAAGACGGACGCCGGTGTACGCGTGTTTCCTCGACTTATCGAAAGCTTTTGACCTGGTCTCATAAGTTGAGGGACGCGGGTGTGCCGGCGGAATACACGGCTCTACTAAGATACTGGTATGCTAACCAGCGTAACCAGGTGAGGTGGGTTGGAGCTCTGTCGGAAGAATACAGGCTGGAATGCGGTGTAAGGCAGGGTGACTTAAGCTCTCCACTCTTGTTCAGCCTGTATGTAAACCAACTGATTGAACGACTAAGCAGCACACATGTTGGCTGCCACATTGATGACATATGTGTCAACAACATAAGCTATGCTGACGACATGGTGCTGCTCAGTCCTATAGCAGGACTGAGGAAACTGCTTTCTACCTGCAAGACATATGCGGAGGAGCATGGCCTAAAATACAACTCAAAAAAGAGTGAAATATTAGGCACCGAAACGGAAGCCACGACATGTGCCACCCGTATGTCTCGATGGTGTATCTCTGAAGGTCGTACAGAAGTTTAAATATCTCTGTCATATAGTTACGAGCGACCTAGGAGATGATGAGGATATTGAACGAAAGCGCAGAGCGTTGTCGGTAAGTGGCAATATGCTTGCCCGCAGATTCGCCCGGTGCACTGCAGAGGTGAAAGTAACTTTATTTAAAGCGTTCTGTCAGTCTTTCTATACCGGTGTTCTGTGGGTGACTTATACGCGCCGGACCTACAGCGCCCTGCGTGTTCAATATAACAACGCCTTTAGGATGCTGTTGAGGCTGCCGTGGCGCTGTAGTGCCTCTAAAATGTTCGCAGACGCACACACTAATGACTTTTTTGCCATAATGCGTAGAAAAGCAGCGTCTCTCCTGCAGCGCTTACGTACCAGCAACAACGGCATCCTAAGGGTAATTGCTGCCAGGCCCGACTGCCCCATACTGTACGACGGTAGCTATTGGACGAAAAAAATAATTTGTACATAATTACCAATACTAACTTAGAAGCTAAGGAAAGTTGTTACTAACATACTAACAATCTATGGATGTTCCTTACGTCTGAAATAAACACTTTATTTTATCCTTATTTTATTATTGTATTTTTTTACTAACATAGTTTATGTAAATTACTAACAAATGTGTATGTATATGTATATCTGAACTAAACATTATTATTGTATAATTGTGAACTAGGTATCGACTTGTAGAAGTCAGTAGGGGCGGCAAAATTTGAATAGCCTACTGGCAGCAAATGTGTGAATCCGCCACTGCCAGTGCTGTCATCCGCGTAGCAATGAATGTTACCGGTTTGCAACATACCATTGATATGCAAAAGAAACAGCGTTTGTGATAGCACGCAGCCTTGTGGAAAATCAGCCTTAATGGGCTTAATTGCTCCGATCTGCAAGAAAACTGGTGATTCAATTGATCAATTTCTTGGGAAGCCCATAGGAAGGAAGCTCCGAAAGAAGCACTTTGTGCCAAACCCGATCGAAGGCCTTTGCTATGTCCAAACTAACGGCCATCACCTCCCCCTTGGACTCTACTGCCTCCGCCCATTTATGAGTTAGGTAACCCAGAATATCACCACTTGAGCGACCCCGACGAAAGCCGTACTGGCGGTCACTAATCAGCTGGTAACCCTCAAGGTACTGCATGAGCTGGCTGTTGATAATGCACTCCATTATTTTAAAGAACAAGGAGGTGATGGCGATAAGCCTATAGTTGGACGGATCAGAGTGGCTTCCTTTTTCAGTGATTGGGTGCACGAAAGGTGTTTCCATGATTTCGAGACTTTACCTAGGGAGTAGGAGTACCGAAAAGAGCGAAAGACGCGTTAAAACCGGTTCCAATTTCGGACCATACGTCTTCAGCACAATAGGAGGGACGCCATTAGGCCCACTCGACTTGTTGATGTTCAGGAAGAGGAGCGCTCTGCGCATAGAGCGCTGGGTAAACAGTACATCCTGCATGGAGCACTCACACCGCGGGATGGTCGGCGGTGAGTTCCCCCCGTCATCAAGAGTTGAGTCGAGTCGACGCAAAGAGAGAGCCCAACAGATCGGCTTTGTCCTTTGGAAAAGATGGATGACAGAAGTTCCCTTGGATAGCCTTGGCGAGAGACCAGAATGCACGTGTTCCCGAAGGAAGACGAACTAGTTTCTTGCCAATTCTGTCGATGTGCTCTGACTTTGCTATTATTATTTATTATACTTATATTACATCATTACATTTATTAATTACACATTACGTTGCGGTATAATCATAAGTTTATAGAAACTTTATCGTGTATGGGTATCACCGACAATAACAAATATGAGGGTGTATGTAGTACGAGAAAAGAAATAGACTTATTATTTCCCAAGTGCGTGACCTGCTATTGTATGATGCACGGCGCATGGATCCTATATATTATACAGAGCGCTTGTTTTAGGGCGTTATCGTAATATTTATTAGTAAAACATATGTATAATATGTATTAGTAATAATGCATTCCATAAAGTAGTACTTTTAATTTTAATTTAAAATTTTTTGATTCTTTTCGGATTTTACAGATACTGGTAGCCGATTAATTAGGTTTTTTTTTTTTTTTTTTTTTGATTTTCCACCAAGGAGTATACCGTCCTTGACGGGAATTTATTGACATTTTTACACAATAGGTTACATTAAATGGCTTACACTATATTTTGCAAGCTGTTATTCTCTAAGACAAGATAACTAACATCAATGCGATTTGATACATTGATTAGGTATCGGTCCATTTAATATTATCACTATTATAAAATTATTTTTCACTGAATGAAATTATTAATAACAATATAAATTTGTATAATTATTCCCAGTAGCATTACATATTTTAGAAAATTAGAAAGAGTACCGAATTAACAAAAAAAAAACGAATAGAAAAAATTACAAAATTAATATGAATATCATCATCATCATCATCACAGCCCTTCACAAGTCCACTGCTGAACATAGGCCTCCCCCAAGTAATGCCACAAAGCACGGTCCTGAGCCACCTGCATCCATCGACTTCCTGCATATCTTACCAGGTCGTCACTCCATCTAGTGGGGGGTCGCCCTACACTACGCCTACCGGTACGAGGCTGCCACTCGAGAACCTTTCTTCCCCATCGGTTATCGGTTCTTCGAGCTATATGGCCGGCCCATTGCCACTTCAGCTTACTAATCCGTTGGGCTATGTCGGTCAATCTGGTTTTACTGCGGATATCCTCATTTCTGAGTCTATCACGCAGAGAAACTCCGAGCATAGCCCTCTCCATAGCTCGCTGAGCGACCTTGAGCGTCCTCATACGGCCAGCAGTGAAGGACCACGTCTCTGATCCGTAAGTCATCACTGGCAACACGCACTGGTTGTACACTTTAGTTTTCAGAGATTGAGGTATACCTGACGAGAAGATATGTCGTAATTTCCCGAACGCTGCCCAGCCGAGTTGAATCCGTCGATTGACCTCTCGGTCGAAGTTGGACTTACCTAATCGGAATATTTGTCCCAGGTAAACGTACTCGTCAACAACTTCGAGCACAGTGCTTCCAACAACTACCGGCATAGGTGTGACATGGACATTAAACATAATCTTTGTTTTGTCCATGTTCATCTTAAGACCTATCCGTTGGGAGGCACTATTGAGGTCATTGAGCATAGTGCTTAAGTCCTCCAGCGATTCTGCCATAAGGACTATATCGTCGGCAAATCGAAGGTGAGTGATGTACTCGCCATTGATGTTAATACCGTATCCTTTCCAGTCCAGTAGCTTGAAAACGTCTTCCAAAGCAGCGGTGAAGAGTTTCGGGGATATAACGTCACCCTGTCTTACACCTCTCTGCAGTTGGATAGGTTTCGAGCTCTGGTTCTGTACTCGGATAGCCATCGTAGCCCTACTGTACAAACACTTCAGCACTTCGATATACCGACAGTCAACTTGGCACCGCTGAAGGGACTGCAGCACCGCCCAAATTTCGACGGAATCAAAGGCTTTCTCATAGTCCACATACGCCAGGCAAAGTGGCAAATTGTACTCTTCAGTCTTCTGTACAATCTGCCGCAGGGTATGTATGTGGTCTATGGTACTGAAGCCTTTTCGGAAACCGGCTTGTTCGGGAGGCTGGAAGTCGTCGAGTCTGCGTGCGAGACGATTCGTAATGACTCTCGAAAACAGCACGTAGACGCGGCTCAGAAGGGAAATCGGTCTGTAGTTCTTCAAGAGAGCGTTGTCGCCTTTCTTAAAGAACAAGACCACCGCACTTCTGCTCCACGCCTCCGGAGTAGTGCCACCATGGAGGACGGAATTGAAGAGCTTCTGAAGGACTTCAAGTACCGGTGTTCCACCCGCTTTCAGAAGCTCCGCTGTAATTCCATCCTCGCCTGGGGCCCTGCCGTTTTTAAGGTGCTGGAGAGCCATTCTAATCTCGCTTAGACTGACGTCCGGGATATCATCGGAATAGTGTCGGATAAGACTTGCTCTTGGATCGTTACTCACACTTGCGTGTGGCTCCAACGATGATGTGTACAGCTGCCCATAGAACCTCTCAATCTCACTCAAAATCTCAGGTGTCCCGGAAACGATGCTGCCACACTCAGTCTTCAGCCTTGACAGTTGGCTCTTTCTGGCAGACAGATCTCTGGCAAAGACTTTGGAGCCCTGGTTCCGCTCGATCGCTTCTTTAATACGAGCAGTATTAAAGTTGCGCAAGTCTCGCCGTATGCATTTGGAGATCTGTCTGTTCAGTTGCCTGTATGCTGTCAAATCTGTTGTCGATTGCAGCCTCATCTCCCGTCTAACAGCCATGAGATTAAGAGTGTGATCGGAGAGTTTTTGTGTTCTTCTGCGGCGGGTCTTGCAGAACTTAGCTCCGACCGCATGGACAGTTTCCACGAGCTTGTCATTCATATCGTCCACTGCATTGCAATCTTGTAGGCACTGAAAGCGGTTGTGTAACTCGAGCTGAAAGTTTTCGGGATTTTGGATCAGAGCACGAGGGGGACGGAGCGTTGACTTCATTAGACGAGACCTCTCCAACTTAACGTTTAGGTTCAGTGTGCCTCTAACCATTCGGTGATCGCTGCCAGTTTTCACCCTTGCGATCACTGAGACATCACTGAACAGTTGGCGTCTGGTCGTCATAATGAAGTCAATCTCATTTTTTGTCGAACCGTCGGGGCTCGACCAGGTCCACTTCCTGTGGGGCCGCTTCTGGAAGAAAGAGTTCATCATAAAGAGTCCCTCTTTCTCCATAAAGTCGGCCAGCTGCTGGCCCCTTCGGTTCCGTTGCCCTACTCCAAATTTCCCTAACTTCAGCTCACCGCTTTCTCTTGTGCCTAGTTTTGCGTTGAAGTCTCCCATCAACGCCGTGTAGTGGGTTTTGGAGGAATGTATGGCTTTGGAAATATCCTCATACATTTCCTCCACCTCCTCATCGGAATGTGCCGACGTTGGTGCGTAAACCTGTATGACCTTCAGCGAATACCGTTTGGTGATTCTGAGTATCAGGTACGCGACCCTCGTCGACACACTCTCAATCTGTACAACGTTGTTGACGAGAGACTTGTGGACGATAAATCCGACACCTCCTTGGGACAGATGGTCGCCCTCCCGGTGATAGAACAAGTTGCCGGATTCGAGAATTACCGTGTCCTCCCCCTCTCTTCGGACCTCGGATAATCCTATAATACTCCAGCGCAACTTGTCTATCTCTTCTTCCAGCTCCAGGATCTTCTCGTCAGTCCTCAGTGTGCGTGCGTTAAATGTTGCCAGGTCGAGTCGTCGTAGGTGGCAACCGAACCTCCACCGGAGATTCTTAGCACCCCCTGCCCCGCCGTTACCATGGTCGCCACCGTAGCCAGGAATAGCGGGGCCGCCGGGGACTGGGGGCCGTCTATTTGTGTAATTGTTCATGGGGGGTATATTGCCATAGTTGCCACGCTTGGCGAGCGGGTTGGCAACCGCAGTTTTTTTTTTGTCGTACAGTTGCTGTTATCAGGAAGATGCTGCTGCCCATCTCCTGTCTGTCTCCCTCTGTCGCCTCTTACGACACCCACGGGAAGATATGGGGTAGTGGATATTCTTAACCGCCACTACACGGCATAAATATAATACAGGGTATTCTTATGTCTACTGCTTATACTTTAGTCCTTAGCTTATAATTTATTAACATTCATTAAATTTGTGCCTTATTATCAATAATATAATATGAGTCATTAAGTTGTACAGATATGATTAGCAAACGAGCATAGGTAAATGAAAGAGATTTACTTATGTTATATATACAAGAAAGGTGAGAAAATAAGATTTAATTTAAGTAAAATACAAGGTATTCCTATATCTATTGCTTAGGAGTTAGACTATAGCTTATGATTTATTAACAGTGATTAAAGCTAGTGTCTTATAACCAAAATAATGTATGCAACGATTCGTGCGAACGTGATTAGCATATAAAAGAGAATTATAGAGAAGTTGTACATAGCCTTATACAGTTTTTTTTTATTATTATTATTATTACCAGAGTAATCTTAGATTTACATATTGTATTCTTAAGAACAAAGATAAAGTTTGAAAGGAGGAGTGATAATTATATATGTTAACTTAAATTATAGAAGTTATTAGAAAGTTTATACACAATTTATATCCCATGTACATATATTAGTTTAAAGAATTTACAATTTATTGAATCCTTTAAGCTTATCTATGATGTAATTAATAAATGTAACGAAGGATTCAATAGCACTTTGTTTATTTGAAAGTTCCGTTACACAGTACGGTGATATACGTAGATTGCTACAAAGCATCTCGTGTCTTAGTCTATTGTACTCAAATCTAGGACACTCCCTCAACAAATGAGTTAACGTTTGAGTAGTGGTATTGTCACAGGGGCAGAATGGATCGGCAGCGATTTTGAATCTATGCAGATATTCCTTGTGGTAGCCATGACCTGTTAAAGCCTGCGTTAATTGAAATGATACTTTGGTTGCTTTCCATAGTGCACAAATGTCCGTCAATTTTGGGAGTAATTCTTTTGTGCGCGCTCCTTGTTCCGCGCTTTCATATCTTGTCTGCCAAGTTCTCCAAGTTTTTTCCCTCATAGTCCTTTTTACAAAGCTCATAGGGAACTTCGCGTAGTCAGGAGTTTTGTGTTGTGTGGCAGCGCCTTTGGCTGTCTCATCAGCAATTTCGTTACCTGCGTCGCCCGCATGGCCCTTAACCCATGAGAATATGAAATTAAGATCCACTTGAGCAGCTGTATATATTGTGTCATGAGTCTTTGCCACAATGGGGTGGGTGTTAGATCTCTTTTGGAGTGCTCTCAGTGGCGCCTGAGAGTCACTCAAGATCTGTATAACCTCCTTGCAGCCCATGTGCATCCTTGTGCCCCTTTGGTATCTTTCGTCTCCTTGCTTCAATCTCCGGTCCAAAGTCCACTCGCAAGCCTCTTTAATCGCCAAGAGTTCCGCTTGGAACACAGAGCAGCTAGTATGTAGTTTCAGCCTCTTTTTTATATATAACTTTTGAACCTTCGAAACAGACGAAAGCCGCTCCCACACCGCCATTCTCGAGCTTGCTTCCATCTGTATAGATTCGAATAGGCGCTGTTTCCTGTTCTAGATTTTCCGAATTCAGGTCTGCACACTCAATACTTATTCTTTTTGACGGATGTAATAACTCATGCACAGGTGTGGGCCTCTCATATTGTATATCCCTTGGTATTAAGTTGGTTGCCCCTTTCAGTCGAACTGTCTCAACTTCATGTACCTCCAGGACCCTGAGGTCCAAGGGCACAAATTGAGCCAGAGCGACCGCTGCCACCGTTGAGACTGTCCTAAAGGCCCTAATTGCCTTTATTGCAAATCCCCTTTGGGCCGACTCCAAGAGCTTCCTTACATATCGTTTTTTTCGCCGCTTGACCCCAGATACCTGCTGCGTATGTAATTGTAGGCTCAATGACCTGTCGATAGATGGTTTGCACGTTATCGGGATGGGCTCCCCAGGTTGGTCGGGTGTAAATGCATAGTTTGTTGAAAATTCGCATAGCCTTCCCAACAACGTACTTAACATGATCAGCGAACAGAAGCTTTCGGTCAATGATCATGCCTAAGAACTTAATACTCCTTTGAAACGCTAAAGTGTGTCTCCCCATTATAAGGTGTGCTTCTTCAGCCTTACGCGTGAATGCAATGGCTTGCGTCTTAGTGGGTCCAAATGTCAATTTGACACTTTGCCCCCATTCCAATATGATTTCCAGAGCGCGATTGGTATTTGTTTGTAGGGTATTTACATCCTTTGCGGAGACGATAAGTAAAACATCATCCGCAAAGGCTTGCAAATGACATCCACTCGGAAGTTCAGCCTCAAGCAACTCGTCCAGTATCACGTTCCATAAAATGGGCCCACACGCTGAACCTTGTATGCAGCCCTTGGTGTTGTTCTTAGTAACCCGCGCTCCTGCGTATTCTAATGTAACTGTGCGGTTCGTCGTATAGCTCTCTGTTAAGTGGAAGATGTTCTTGGGGCATCTTATAGCACGTAGTCTCTCGAATAGTGCGGGCCACCACGCGTTGTCAAATGCGGAGCGGATGTCTAAAGAAACGCCCAGCACCTGTTTGCCATTCTTCTTAGCCGCTTTTACGATACTGAGTGCCGTATCTATAGCTGTAATCGTGCTGGTTTGTTCCTTGAAGCCAAACTGTCGCCCGTTGAGTAGTCCCGCTTTGGTTGCGCAATATATGAGACGCTTAATGTATAATTTTTCGAGCAATTTTCCAAAGACTGGCAAGAGTCCTATAGGGCGGAAGGAGCTTAACTCGCTATAATCAGTCTTGCTTGGCTTTGGTATGATTTTAACTTCGGCTCTCTTCCACTGCTGAGGAAAGTGATGGAGCTCTAGACACCTGTTCATGATTCCCGTTATAAGTTCTGGGTAATTAATAGTAAATTGTAGGCAGATGTCAGATGTCAGACCATCAATGCCGGGTGCCTTCTTAGGATTCACCCATTTGAGATGTTCCAAAACCTCCTCGACAGCGAATGGGGGTTCATCTACTCCATCTGGCTCATTCCCGATTCTGGATCTAAGAAACTGGTGTTGGTGCGTGTCATTATCTGGTGTATCATCACCGTAAAAGTGATCCAGGAGTGCTTGGGCCGTCTCCGTTTCGCTGCTGGTGTAATTGTCACCAATTTTTATGGTGGCTGGTGGCCGCTTGGGTGCAGTGTCCTTCAGAAGTCTATTCGTGAGAGTCCAAACGTTTTCTTTTGTTTCTAGTTCGCAGAACTCTCTAAAACTCCTGGAAGACTCCGCCCTCAGTTCCTCCGCATATATTGCCTTTTTATTATTTAATTCCTCTGCTAGTTGATCTAGAGGCAGATTCCGACGTCTCATTCGGTTTAGTCTGTGGTGTAACTGGATGACTTCTTTTTTGAGGTCTGTCAGTTTTTCCGTCCACCATAACGGGCGATGCTTCGTCAGGGATCGGCCTTTCTTTGTCGGCATAGATTCTTCACACGCTTTATGAATGATCCCGCAGATGTCATCAATCAATGTCTCCAAGCCAGCTGTGTTCAGCGATCCGATGTCTCTCTCCAATATATCTGTATTGGTCATAAGCGTGTGGAGTGCATCCTTGAATATTCCCCAATTGGCCTTGTTGCTGTTGTACTTAAACGTGGAGTTGGTTATCGATGAGGAGTTTAAGGAAGAATTCTCAGTCGCAATCTCGTATTCCACAGCATTATGCTGCGATGAAGGGCAGGCGTTGAGGTTGACCTTCCACCCGACTACACGGTCAAATATGTGTCCATGGGCCAATGTGAGGTCTATTATAGAAGTCCGATCCCTGCCGTGTGTGACGGTTTCAAAGGTGGGTGAGGTGCCGACATTGCAAACGAAGAGATCATTTGCATGTGCCAGCTCCACTACCGCACATCCTCTAGGGTTATTGGTCTTACTGCCCCATAGATGGTGCCATCCATTAAAGTCACCGCCAATGATGGTATTTGGGCATCGGGAGATCTTGAGAAAATTATCTATATGCTCTAATGTGTTATTTTCGTCTGAATTCGGTTCGATATATGCGGAGGCTATGAGTATTTTATGACCGCCACTTGTGAATTGAATAACGCAAAGATTTGAGTTAGAGTATTGTGACATACCAATCACCTGACCGCAGCCTGGTTTAGTGAGTATACACGCCTTAACTCTACCTTTTCCACCAAATTGATGTATGTTGAGTCCCTGAGTTGGTCGCACCTCATTTCCTGAGCCAACATATGGCTCCGACAGCAATGCAATTTGATAGCCACCTGCCATGAAAGAAAGAATAAATTCATGTAAACTCTTTTTTGAACGATCAATGTTACACTGTATAATTTTTATATTTTTATTAATTAAATCCATAATCAATTCTGTTAATTATTCTTTCTCTCATGCCTCTCAGTTTTGGACATTCCAGTGACATGGCAGAGTGGCGGACATCCGCTTTGGTACCAAATTTATCATTATGAGATGCACAATTAGCGCATATGGCAGTACCTTGTTTGCCCTTATCAGGACATTTTTCGCCTGTGTGCTCCTTACTGGAACAGTGCGAGCATTGACTAGTTGCGGCTGTGCAGTACTTTTTAATGTGCCCAAACTGCAGACACCTGTGGCACTGCAGAAAGGGTGAGAATTCGCTGATGTGTAATCGCTGGTAGTCAACACTGATTTTGCCCTTTTCAATGAATTTACGAAAGAGTTTGGGTGCCACAAGAAACACTGCGTTGTATAGCCCCGGGTTTTCGTTGCTACGCCTAAATCGGAGGCGCATGTCATCGTCCTCAATAAAAGCCTCTTTCAACTCTGGGTTCTGCCCCCTGACAATACCAGCTATCTCTTCAGCTGGTATATCTTTGGATATACCCTTTAGTATAATCATTGGCCGCAGTCCCTTAGCCGGCTCAACGCTTACGTGCTCAGACAATTTTAGCTTTTGTAGGGTGTCGTTACGTTGTTCGGTTGTATCAAATTCCACTCTAAGTTTGTGATTTGACACTGCCTGAACCCTAGCTGGTGCATAATTCGCTGTGCGATACGATATGCTCTTCTTAAACGCCTCGATTGCTTCCTGTCGTGATTTGGGGGTTACCTTTGGGGTCACCACGATGGCCGGCTTGTTGATAGATGTTCCGCGGGCTGGTGGCATAGTGGTCATGCTGGGAAGAGAGCCCGGCCCACTGCTGGTCGCAGCGGCCTGGGCGTATGAGGCAGGCCGCGCCTGCTGTTGAAGCTGCGTGGTTATTTGGCCCTTTAGTTTGGCCATCTCGCTCCTGACACAGGCGACGATGTCAGCCTTCAAGTCGCTGTTCATGTTACTCTGGGGGCGGGGGCAAGCACTGTAGACATGCTTGTCAGTTTATGCCCACACCTTCTGATCTCCTCGGCAGCTACTCTCTTCTGATGAGTCTCTTCTTTGCGGCGGTGACTGACTTGCCGTCAGAGACCGCTTTAGTAATGCAGTCAGAAAGTTTTTGTATCGTCGTGACAAAAGTATCGATGTTGGTTATTTCCTCGACATAGGCCGGTAGGAGGGAGGGAGTGGTTTCACTAGTATGATCCTTAGAAGTAGTAGTGGCCATCTTGCTAATTAATTAGTCCAAGTTTAAAAAAAATAAATAAATAAATAAAATAAAAAAAAATGTTTATATCGTCATCGGAGGGGGGGGGGGGTTTCCACTTCGGAAAATCACTGCACTGATAGTACTATCATGTAATAATGTTTAAGAGTCTCAAAGTTCACACACACGGTAATAGTCAATTTTTACACATATGAAACTAACAACCTAGTCAAGAATTACGTAATTCTATCCAATATCTATCGGAACGAAGGTCGCGATGATAAAAAAGAGTCAACAGCCGTGACGATCTCCACGGTAAAAAAAACACTCGAGATCCTTCGATTTTTGCAACACTACACTGATAATTTTTTTTTTTTCCCTTCACACTGTGTTCACTAAACCACCAAAGAATACTGTCGTGATGTATTGATTAGTTATATTTCATTGCGAATATTTCTGATACAACGCGTGCGGCCCCACCGAACAGCCGTGAGCGACCCGTTGGTCATTGGTTAAGTTAATTAAAAGTTTAATGTCCGGCCCTCACGTGGCATAGATGGTCATGTGCGGACGTGGAGTTAGATTTGCGAGGGCCTACAACTCGACCGCCTGAATGTAGCACGGTGACGTTCAAGTAGTGACTAAACACAGCACGGAGGCACGCGAAGCGGGCTTGATGCGTGTTATCGTAGGTCAGCGTCAAAGTTCGTTACAAATAAATTTGAAATGTTTTCGCTTATATCTTACAATTCTCTTTGTATTTCACAATTCTGATTTCACCATTGGAAAGAGCACTTTTTAACGAAAATAATGATTATAAACACATGCTATAGCAACTAAAATTTACTGCACTTTAGATTTAAAATTCACGGAGCGAAAATAAACACGTCTTATACTCTCGGGTATCTTTTGCGGTTGATTAATTAGGTTAGGGATCATATATTCTAAGGTACGTTTACCATATAAATTATTGTATTTAGGTAAGGTTAGTTTAGGTTTTCCAGAGTTGGGAGTTTTAGAGTAATCACGTGTATGGGCAATTTTAAACTGTTCATGGAAAAATTCTTCAATAAGAAGGGTAAACTTTACCTTTTCGTATATAGGTATAATTTTGCAATGACTAAAAAGGTTATGGTAATCTGATTCTTTATATTGTTTTTTAATACTATCCAAACTATAGTTATTAAAATATGTAACTGAAGTAGATAAATATGTTCTAAACAAACCTATAGTTATTAAAATATGTAAGTGAAGTAGATAACTATGTTCTAAATGTGATTTGTACGTTCTGCCATAGCTAGACAAAACTTACGCTACTTTTGACTCCATCAGTGATTTATACAGCTGTATAGGTATTTTATACGGAATTTTACATTTAATTATAGAACATTTTGCAAGCATACCACGAAGATACTTTGCCAGATCATACTTTGCCAACGCATGGACGTATATGTCTTGATCACATGATGCCTAAAACTAAAATGTAAACTCTCTGTTTCGAATTTGAAACATCAGTCATGATCACGAGAGTGTGGCTATTAGTTGCAGACTAAAATCGCTCCCCCCCGAACGGGTTCCCGCCTTGTCGTGGCGGGGGGCTTAGAAGCCGTGGCTTGGTCACCCACGGCGAAACAAAGAGGAACCCATATGGCTGGTCCGAGGTGGAGGGCCGGCCCGAGGTGGCCACTCCGAGTGGGCTTGGGAAGCCCACTTTGGATGTGTGTTGGTGGACTGCGGTGAGAGGTGTGTCCTCCCCACCTACCGCTGCAGCCGAGGTGGAGTCGCGAAGGAAGAGGAGTGTTGGTATGGCGATGCGCCACTCGCCCTGTCCTCCGCGACTCAAACGGGGCCGCACCGTTGATGCGGTGGTGATGGGGCTGCGGGGGGAGAGGATTGTCGGTATTGCGAGGCGCCGCTCTCCCTATCCTCCGCAGCCGAATCTTGGTTGGCGGCGGAGCCATAGACCAGATCCGCCGCTGGGGTCGGGAAGGCTAGTACTTCTAAGTGCTCGTTTTTCCTGGCCCCATGGCCTTCGCGCATCGGACGCGGGGGGCGTCTGTTGCGCAGATGTAATTGGAGGCCGTGGAGGAAGGCGTGCCATGTGTTCTGGTGCGCCTTACTTGGAAAGGAGAACGGGGGAGGAATATTCCTCTCCCGATGAGGTGCTGCCATGGGGCGGCAGTCGCTGGTGGGGCCGCGGATGTGTGCGAAAGTGTTCCCGTAGCCCTGCCAATATGCGACGAAGGTGGAACACCATGGGGTTTTAGTCGGTGCGAGTCCGACATAACCCGTCCTTGCCCCCCGCGAGGCGGGTATGCGTAGGCATTTCCCCATGTTAAAAAAAAAAAAAGACTAAAATCGCTACTAATTACTTAAACGAAACCCAATGCGTGGTTGACTTTGATAACCTTGATCAAAGTTATGCAAAATGTTAATTACCAACCTATCCTAGAATGTCAATATCCTAACTTATCGACTGATGTTCTTATATCGAATTTATCTTCGGCCATTAATAACAACTACAGCATGGTTAAAACTACTGAAAGAAATTTGATTTCTAAACCACGGATAACTAAAGGGCTACTTCGTTGTATGAAAAACCGGGACAATTTGTATAAAAACATAAACGAAATCCGGACGACGAGGATATTAAAACAACATATAGACGCTATCGAAACTTTTGCAACAATATTCTCAAGAAAGTGAAAAGAATCTACGAGAAGCAGGAGATTGAAAAATCAGCTATGGGATGTTATTAAAAAGATTAGCGGCTCCAATAAGACGGCCGACTATTCACTATCCCTTTTGTCGCCTAACAGCCCTGATTCGGACATTAATTTTGTTAACAAATTCTTCGCGAATGTCGGCGCAAACCTGGCTGAAGAGATTATTAAATCTAAACAAACTACACTTTCTCATGACAATGATCATGCCTCTGAAACACCTCTCAATTCACTTGTCATTCTCCTTACGGATGAGGAACAAATTTTAATAAAAAATAAAAATATAAATTTCTTCGCAACCTTCCGCCAAACAAATACAATGATGCGTCTTACCTGGATTGAAGAGCACCTCCCGCCCTCCCTCAATTGCATGCACTAATTCCGTCACCACGAATCCCAGCACCACTATTCCAGGCAAGACACACCACCGACGATAATACGACACGTGTATCGCCTCTACACGAGGCATCTTCAGGTAATGTAGACTCTACGGCGGCTGACCGCTAAGTGAGCGGCCAGCTTTTTTTTTTTTTGCGCCCGAAGCAAATATGGGCAACCCTCCGGAAAGCGGGGGAGGGAGGCGGTGAATGCTCATAGCATACCACGCAGCCGGCTGCGTGGTTATGTGGAGACTTTTACCCACTAAACACCGCCTTTTAGGAAATGGCTTAACGATCTGACTAGAGATCTCTAAGCCGTATACGAACGCGACCCTCCTTGGCAGAAAGGAGGGCGCAACCGAGCGGCCAGCCGAAACAGCTTCTATTTATACACGCCGACACAATCGCTCCCCACCAAAGTAGCGAGTGATCGCACCGTGCGATAACAAACCTGCTACTAATTATCATTATTGTTATGATTAATATTTTTAAATACTATTATTATTATTGTTTTATTGATATTATTATAGTTATTTATTATTATTAATCTTAAAATTATTATTAAGATGTTTAACAAAGGTGAATTAGAAACATTTGTTTGTTCATTCAGCAGTGCATAATTACCATTATTACTTTTTAAAATCTCCAACTGCTCCAGCACACACAGCCGCAGCCCCTTATTACAAGTATGTAGGACTTCAAAGGAATGGTCGCTAGCCAGGTTGTGTCCAGTGTCCACGAGATGTTTAGCAAAATGGGATTTATCAGGATTGCAATTTCTGTACGCGGCCAAATGCTCTTTATAGCGCGTCCCGAAATTGCGACCAGTCTGACCCACGTAAACGGCGTGGCATTCGTCACAAACAAGTTTATAAATACCCGATTTTTGACTAATATTTAACTTATCTTTATTATTACAAATATTCCTAAGTGAATTGTTTGTTTTGAATGCCACGTTAACGCCGTTTTTCTTAAGAATATTAGCTATTTTTTTCCGATATGGAGCCTAAGTAGGTCAAACTACCCACATATCGCCGGACACTTTGAGATCGAACCGCATACAAAGAATTGCGAACAACATGCTTTTGTTTCTTTTTAATAAGATTATTAATGAGACTTTTTGAAAACCCGTTAGAGACCGCAATTTGATAAATTATATTAAGTTCTTTTAAATAATTTTCTTTACTTAATGGAACAGTGAACAGACGGTTAATGTAACATTAAAAAAGCGGCTAATTTATGTTGCCATGGATGACACGATGACGCGGGGATGACCGTGTCGGTATGAGGTGGCTTTCGATAAATTTGAAAAACATGTAACGACTCTTTTCTTGTTATTGTTAAATCAAGGAAATTAAGAGAGCAATCTTGTTCCAATTCAAGCTTAAATTTAATTTTTTCGTGGACTCTATTTATTTTATTAGACAAAACATCCAGTTGTCTCCTTGTGCCTGTCCAGCAAATAATTATGTCGTCTACATATCGATAATAGTATAAGATATTTTGGTTAACAACTATATGTTGTTTTTCGAAATTATCCATGAAAATGTCCGCCATAAGTGGACTTAGAGGGGACCCCATAGCCAACCCTTCTTTTTGTAGATAGAAACGGTTATTAATAATTTTAAAATTAAAAAAAATAAATAATTC